TTAAGGCAGAGACAGAACACACCAGGAAAACTCTGGTGTTCCCGGGGGCTGCTTAGTCACTTTGGGTGGTGGACAGAAGAGTGTGAGAAGGAGGCAGAAGGTTCGAGTCCAGTCGTTAATTTTCAGTCTGAGACAAAAGTGACATTTGTCTGTTCAAAGATGTATATCGGTGATGCAACACTGTGGAATTTGGGTGGTCTTCTACATTTACTGATCATTTATTTCATTAAGTGATTAAAATTGTCCTGTTCGTCCAAAATTATGGGCTTGTTTTTTTTTGGGGGGGGGCAATAACAGTGAAATATTGAGGTAAAGGAAAACATGCTGACAGTGTTTCGAGAAATGGGATCAAAAAGAAATCCGAATGAGACACAAATAGCTGAAAATTGCAAACAGATGAAAGAAAAAAGTTGAAAGGAAGAAGCATTACAGTTCTAGTCCAGCTGCTGAGGAGGGACTGCAGCGACGAGCACACACCCACACTCAGACAAAACATACACACACACACACACACACACACACACACACACACACACACACACACACACACAGAAGACAGCTATTCTTGCCGATGGCTGACACAGATACTGCAATGCAGAGAGAGATGAGGGGAGGGAGACAGCAAACAAGATGGACGAAAAGCAGCCAGCAGAGGGTGTCGGAGTGTTGGTGTGCGAGTATGTGTACGAGGGTGAGTGAGGGATAGGGCAAACTGAGAGTCAAGAAGGGAGCGCAGAAGGGAGGTGTGATGGAGAATGAGTAAGCAAAGCGAGATAACATTACAATGAGAGGAGGGGCAGAAATGTGAGGAGGTATCACATATAGAAAGGAGGATTGAAAGTGAGAGAAGAGAAGACGGATTGTTGCCTCCAACAGAGCCATCTAGCCATGTTTTATTCAGAATGAATTAAATTAATCCTCAGTCATAAAATACAGTTGAACTTCTAAGGTTGAACACAATCTGATCCACATATTTTTTTTTTATTATATATATAAAAAATTATATTTTCTCCGGGTCCTCCGGTTTCCTCCCACATTCCAAAAACATGCATGGCAGGCTGATTGTATATTCCAAATTGTCCCTACGTGTGAGTGTGAGCGCAAATGGTTGTTCGTTTCTGGGTGCCCTGTGATTGGCTGGCAACCGGTTCAGGGTGTCCCCCGCCTACTGCCCGAAGGCAGCTGGGATAGGCTCCAGCAACCCCCGCGACCCTAGTGAAGACAAAGCGGTTCGGAAAATGGATGAATGGATGGATTTATATGAAGTCACGTTGTACAAATGGTTCAATTTGCATCTGATGGGAATGCACCATAGGTCTGCACATATTTATTTATTTTTGGGGGGGGTTGTTTCTTTTCAGTCCAAGTCTCCTAAGATTCATAAGAATTTCCCTAACCTTTGTGGAAAAACTTCTTTGGGTCCAGGATCATTTAAAATGTGTTTCCTTTTGAACATAGAAAACATATTCCTTTTGAACATAAAAAATTAATTTGACTCCACTTATCCTCACCGACATCATCGCGCGGGGGCGAGTATTGATAATGCAAATGGCCGCCGATCTCCACTACAAACTTGCGCAGTGTGCAGGTTTCTCCCACAAGATTTCACAAGTGGCCGAATCTCGTAATTTGAATCCTAATTGCATGATTTGGTAATGTAGCATATTATAGCCAATCAAAATGCACGGAAGCTTTCAAACAGGTGTAAATTCCACTTTCTTGTTATAAACGTGCGAGACACAGCGATACACCAGATATATACAGTACAGTACACCTACTATCTTTTACACCAATACGTAACCATATTTGGCAGGGTGGCATTATGCACTCGATCAATGATGCAGTCATAAAACCGGTGGGGAGGAAGGGATTGAGCCTTATCATTACTCAATATCTTGATATTCTTGGGGTCCTTCGGATAAATCAATTTCTTCATCAACCTCATTGACAGAGAACTGAGCAAAATAATTTGCAGCCGTTAGGCAATGAGTATGAGAAAAATGACTTCAGTTTTCTATCCGCAGTTTCCTCCAATCAATGTTGGGATAATGTAATGAAGCCAAATCAAGACTAAAACAACCGAAGTTGATTGTGAAGGCATTACAAAAATACAAATGGACCCCTTCTGGTTGTCGAGCAACTTAAGCAAAAATGTCTCCGTCTCGTGGGTCACAACTGCCAGGATACGCCCGTCAACATCATTCACTTCTTTCGGCATCTCACGTGTGGTAACAGGACACTTAAGAAACTGCACCCCAGAATCATCCAAAGAACTGTCATCGGCACCAGAATCAATAAGTGCAGTAGCCTTGACCCTAAGCCCCCAAATGACACAATCCCGTTAAATTCAAGTCTCTTTTGGTTCGCATCCATAACAGTTTCTTTTAGTAGGTTTTCTACTTTGGGGTACACAAAACCCAGCAGGAGGACAGGTATAGTCAGAAGACTGGTGAGAAGTACCAAAGTGTCTCGAGATCTGACGGTCTGTGGGGCGACTGTGAACCTGATTTGAGGACAAGTCGCCACTTCGTGTCCCAGAAGACCAAAATACAGGGACATGCAAAGCAGCATCCATCGGGAGCGTTCGGCAGCCGAAAGGCGACCACCTCCAAGCTGCATTGGCTCCACTGATGTCTTGGAAAATGAAGGCCGCCCAGATTCTCCAGGCATGCTCCGTGATGATGGAACAGGAGATGGACCACCAAATTCTACCCCTCGTTCGTTCTCATAGCCGGTTATCCAACCAGATGACCAATCCAATGAGTTCCTCCAATCATGAAATTTCATCCCGTGTTGCCAACGTATCTTTAACTTAGACCTGTTATGTTTTTGTTTAGATGACATTTGGTTTTGGGTCCTTGTTGCCCTTTTTGTCTTCACCTGTTCGCGTCATCCGGGTCCATTGCTTTAACCAGTCAGCACCCTCAACCCTTTGTGTCTTGTCCAGCTGTTCTCATCTGGTCACTTTGCTTGTTTTTAGTTTCCTGGATTTTGTCAGTCTTCGTCGGATCAGTTTGTGTCTGTGTGTCTGTCATAGGTTTCTTGTTTGGTTGTTACTTTGGTTTCTTGTGGTTTTCAAGACATTGTGTTTTTGTTTTAGTTTTTCCAGTGTACCCCTGAAAGTGTTTTTGTTAATACATTTTTTTCCGCCCACCCTGCTCCTCCTGCCTCCCTGCTTTTTGGGGTCCCCTACTATCACGCCAAATCCATGACAAGACCGTTTCGAAAAATGCCGCAAAGTGCTTTCTCGTCAAAGCCAGTCTTGGCAGTATTGGGGGAAGAGTGGCCTTTCTCTTCCTCCGCGTGTTCGTTAATTTCGGATAATGAGGATTTTGGTTATCCAAATAAAGGCTGGAGTCAATGAACAGTTCCTTCGAAGGGTTTAATTTATTTTTCTGCAGTTTACAAATCGATTCGGGCTCCTGAGAGTTCCAGATTTCAGTCAGGAAGCGTAAAAGAAACACATTCATGAGATTATATGGAAACAATATGATAATGAGAGGCGGGGAGGTACGCCTCTCATGCAAATCCAGGAAACAAAGAAAGTAACGTCATCTGACCTGGTGTGACTGGAAGAAGTTGGGAGTGGTGAGGTGAGACCAGACCACCACTACCCACCATTTGGTGTGACGGCAGGAACACAGATACTTGAGATAACAGTTCCTCTTTTGATGTTAAACATGTCCTATGGAGGGGGGCCCTAAAAGTGGTGGGGGTTGAAGGGGCACTAAAGGTAATTGTAAACACAGTGAGCAGGAAATACCTCCAACAACATTCTACATTCTTTGTTTCTTTCAAATCCAACTAACAGAGAGGAATAATACCTTAACAGCAGCCAAAATACAGAAGGAAATACAAAAATCAGCAACAGTTTGATTTTCTTGCGAGCAGTCAATCAATCTACTTCCTGCTTCCTTGTCCTTGGTGGTCAAAAATCTGAAAGTTAGGAACGGAACTCCAGATTATTGTAACTAGTAGCCATAGCCCAGTCAGCAGCTTTGTATGAAAGCAAAGCCATAATATATGTCACTTTTGCTCTGTCAGTGGCATAAGTAAAAGGTTGTTAATCAAATACTAATAAACACTGGTGAAGAAATTGTTTGCAACCACCAGGTTCGCCACCATAGTGGTTAGAGTTGTGGGATGTTAGGTTCCCTAATGGGTGATGTGCTGACTATCGGTGGGATAGAGATCATGGGTGACTTGCCTGACACACCGGTCGTTAATTGAGAGCAGGTTTGCTCAAACTGAATGCCAAAGTCAGCAATGGTGGCAGTAAGAGCACAAACCGACAAATCATTTTGTCTGACCAATGCCCCTTGGTTGGACAAAGCTCTGCGAAATTGCTCAACCTCTGCGGGCCCATGATATGGCTGGAATATTCTGTTAGGCGGATGTATGCAAATATATGGAGGCCAAAATATTATCAGAGGCAATCGCATCAACCAGACAATTTATTAAACTAAGAGAGCACAGCACGTAAGATGTGAGGAAGAAGAAAAAGACACCAGGAACAAAAGACTACACCTACCGAGCAAATCTTCCAAATGAGGGTAGGAATAACTCAGACAAGTGAGCGAAGCAAAAGAGGGGTAAGTCACCGGAAAAAAAGACTAACAACTAAAAACAACAACTGTGATATACTGCGCAGGAGGACAGGAGCAAACCTACACAAAGCTAAACAATATTCCTCTCACTCACTCTTCTCTCTCCAGCGCTTACAAACTAATTGTGATGACAAGTGGCGTGCGGTGGAAATGCCGCCCCTCCATCTGTCCCAGTAACTGAAAGAAAAAAAAAACAGACCTTTCAACATGACGGATTATAACAGTCGAGGAGAGGGCCGATGCAGAATGGAGGACATGGAATGAGGTGAGGATCATGGCTCATCAAAGGGTAGAGTGGAGGCCTAATGCGCCAACTTGAGCGAAGTGGAAAGGTTGTCTAGGAATCTCACCCATGTCCTATTTCTGTAGCGATCTGTGTCTTCTTTGATTGACACACCATCTTTTTATGGATTAAAAAAAAAGTCATATGGTACAATATATACGAGGAGCGTCAGTACGCGATACAGGTTCCCACAGTTTGCATCATAAGAAGTGTTTATGCCAAATTGCCTGGCGTGCGGGGGTGAGTGTCGAACTGTCATTTTTTGCATTGGTCCTAGTGGGATTTAGAAGCAGTGTGCAGTGGACTTCAGTCTCTTACTTGCGCCTTTTTTCATATGTGCCTGTCTTTTTTATCAGTCAGGTTGTCGCCAATGGTGAGAATCAATTAGAAGAGGAAGCTTGTATTAATACGTAAATTCCCAGCGGTCTTTTTTATGGTGATAGGGCATTTTATTTTCTTTTATGGTGTAAATTATGGGACACGACATTAGCTTCTAATGTTGCATGATATCAACATCATGAGTACTTGTTTTATACTTTGTAGCATCATTTAATTGAAATTCGTTGCAACCAGTTGGTAAACATGATCGGTAGATTGTTGCTGTAAATATCGTTGGGTATTATCCGTTTATAAAGGTTGGTCAATCTATGCCAAATGGGTTAATGGTTGCATCAAGGCACCTTTCTGAAGCATTTTTAAATTTAGAACCTTTCCTCCAAGTAGTCCAAGGTCATCTCTTTTAGGTAGTGATAGAAAGTTCCTATGCAAAAAGCAGAATCTGAAAAAGGCATTTACCTGGAGATCTTATGTGTTGATTTTACCTCCAGTGTACTTCTGTTTGAGCCCAGGAGGTAAACTCACTTCTGCGCAAGGTTTTTTTTTTTTTTTTTTTTTTAATTGAGTCTTAATCCGCAATGGCATATTCTTTGTAATTGCAACTCCTTTGTCTTTAATTGAATCGCTGTTGTGACAATTTGTGGTTGAGATCGGTTGAAGTTCCCCTCTGTTGTTTGAAGGTTGTATCATGTGATGCACTGCGGCAAAATTCATAACACCGCGAATGGAATTTAATTGGCTTGTGACAAAAATAACTCCCTGAAACTCTGACAGCACAAAATCCTGTGAGTCACTAATGATTCATTTTGCACTTTGACAAACCTTTGAAAAACTTTTCAATGATGATGTAATAACTTCACATCAACAGTTATTTTAAGACAGGGGATTTAGTTTTCAGACTTACAACTGCAAAGTGTAGTGGAAGGGATGCTACAAGGGAAGTTGTGCAGAAACGAGAACAACGGATCACTTGATCAATATAAATCTATCCATTATCTGAATTACTTTATCCTTCCGAGGGTGCTGGAGTCTATCCCAACTGACTTTGGGCAGTATGCGGGGTACACCCTGAATTGATTGCCAGGGCACACATAGACAAACAATATTTTGGATCTCATACTGACAGACTGATGCATAAATGAAGTGACACATTAATGTTTTATAATTGTGCAACCTGTGCGTGTCCTCTGTCTGTGGTAAAATTGTACTTGTCACTCTGAATCTCCCTCTCGAACTATAGCTGATCAATAATACAAGAGCCACTCACTGCTTGGCACACATTCAACAGCTGTTCGGGCATTTCTCATTTTACCCACCTGTCATATGGTGTCAGCTCTGCTGAGACATCTGAACCATCCAGTGGCGGAGCCAGAGCATATTCAGGGGTGGTGTATGATAGGCATACATAAAAATAAGAGAATAATTAAGGCACCTATACATTACCACTACATTGTTGAAAATTCAGGCAGTTGTGGAATTAGGAAAAGCACCTTTAATGTATCCGATGTACAGTATCGGGAAGATTACTTTTAGAATGTATTCCGCTCTATAGCGGGAAATCGTGAAAATGGATGGATCGGTCGGTCAATAGATGGGTGGATGATTGATTGATTGAAGGCCATGTGAAAAAAATTGCTGTTTTTGAACTGTCCCTGAAGGCTACACCTCATAAGCTAGCTAATTGTCACAGTGGATCTGTTTTTGACCAACAGGTGGCACTGTAGGGCTCCTCCTACAGCGGCACACCTGTTGGTCATCATGTCATTAGGTTTTTCTGTTTAAAGGACTCCCTGCCCGACCATTCAGGGTTGGGGTAGTGTTCAGCGTTCAACTCCTGCCGTGGGTTTTTATTTGTTACTTTTAGTTCTTGTTGTATTCAGGACTTTGTTTTGGATTTTGTGTTCTCAGTGTTTTGTTAATATATTTTGTCAAGTCCACCTGAACACAGGGTTCCAGAATACAAGTCAGAGGTGGGCAATTGAAGCAATTTTCAGATTTTGGGCCGCGTGGCGTATTATGGGTATGGTCAATTTTGGGGCTATCAAATAGTATTCAATGTGAAAGCAACAAAGGTCTGTGATTTAGAAGATTTCAACCATTAGAAAGATTGGTTTTTATTTAATCCATTTTCAACATGCATAGCCTGTGCCGCCCTCTGCTGAGACACTCCAGTTCAGCTTCATTAAGTGCTCAATGACATTTGGCTGGATGCTGGTTCTAAATGACCGGCTGCAGTGCATCACGTGTGGACCCAAAGCACCTCTGAAAGTAGTGCTTTGCCCTGGTGCATGGGAATATCTAGTGCTGACAGCACATACCGTAACGAAATGGCTTTATAGCAAATGGTAGATTCATGTAATATGCTGCATTAGTTAGTTGCTGTTGTTTCGGACACATAAACCAAATGTGAGCGAAAGGCAGTGTAACACTCAAAGCCAATCGCCATTTTGACATGCCACAATAATACGCAACAACAGAGACGTTTCTCAATTTACAAAGTGACAGCGCCTAGAAAACGATTGCTGATCACATTTTCTGTCCCTCCATTAGTTTCACTGTCCATTGGCCAGCTTACCGTATCGTAGCCTCTGTTGATTAGTTGCACCCTCAAAAGAAAAACACTTCTCCGTTCGTATGGGCACCTTTACTTTCCCAGGTAGGTTGGAGTTTACGTGAAACATTTAACTTCAAACAGACATTCAGTCAGTAGGTATGGTTTATTTCTTTTTTTCACACATCATCGTAGCTTCCATCCATTCTCTCTCCTTCTTTTTCATGACGCCACATGAGCCACTTGAACTCTAAACCTCTGCATCCTAACAAAACTAGTGTATTTATAGAAAATACAAATATGACAGAATTAAGATGCTCACCTCACTGAAACTATCCATTCACACAGAAATGAAATATAAATCCTTCAGCACTTTTAGGTCGCAAAAACTCAGTTTAAAGATATCGTCGAAATAAAGGCATTCAAGAATTTTACTTCATATTTTATTTCCATATGGATCTTTCTTTTCTGTCAGGGAATTGTGAAGGATGAAGAGAGGTTTACAACTGCATTTACTCTTTCTGTTTGTGGGTGAACTTTTGGGAGCTTTGCACTGGTGTTTTTTTTTTTTTTTTTTTTTTTTAACACCATCTGTTGTTTTGCCACTTAAGGCTCAATAAAGTGTTTTCTACAATGCCTGCAAGCTTCTAAGTTGTACAGTTAGACATACACTTTTGCACGAGCATACATAATTTCAATGACCATCTTGGTAACCATTTTTTTTTTCCACTTGACTTCCACGCATGTGTCATGGATCCGTTTGTGACCAACAGGTGGCACTGTTGGGCTCATCCTGCAGCTGCACACCTGTTGGTCATTGTGTCATTAGTTTTCTGTTTAAAAGGACTCTCTGCCCGACCACTTAGTGTCAGGTAATTGTTTCTGTTGGTTTGTGCTTGTGTTTTCACTTCTGCCGCAGGTTTTAGTTTGTTACTTTGTTTCCAGAACCTTGTTTATTCTGAATTTGGTTTTCTTTATGTTTTGTTAATGCATTTTGTCAAGTCAAACCTGCTCCTCCCTCATGCCTGCTTTTTGGGGTCCTACGCCACCACGATCATGGCAGAATGCACAGATAAGATCTGCTCATCGCTTATTTTTTGGAAGACCATGCAACTCAATTGTATTAAAAAAAAGTTTTTTTTTGTTTTTTTTTTTAACTTTTATAAAACGATAAATTGTATCACCCTGGTATGTTATGATTAGGGACCAAAAACTCGGGGGAAAAAACCCTGGAATTCTTGGCTTGTGCCATCAGGAATCCCGAGAGCAAGGTGCTTGGATGATTTGTTTGGCACAGTTTTTATGCTGGATGGCCTTTCTGACGCAACCACCCACTGTGACTGCATATTGGGGTCCTGGCTAGAAATCAACTTCACACCATCTGCACGAAAGGCAGCTGCATCTACTGTATACTGACACTACCAGGTTTATAACTCATGTAGTTCCTGTGTTGTCTATGAAAAATAGTTTGTCTATTATTGTAGCATTAAATGTCCATTGAGCTGTATTCTTTAAGAAGCACAGAACATGCCGCAGGCCTTGCTTATAAAGGCAATGAACAATGTCCCTTGTTAAACCTCCTTCAGTATCTTTGCTTTCATTTGGCCAAAATGTGTTCGTTCCATTGTTGACTGGTCATATTTTCAGACCTCATGTCATCAGATGAATTAAAAATGTTAGTTTGCAATGCATGTTGGAACAGCATTGTTAAGTTGTGACTTTGTATTCAAGAAATGGTGTTTATGTTGGGGTTTTTTTGTTTGTTTTTTAATACCAATAGCTATTCCAGTTGATGAGATCAATTGATTCCGTTGAACATTTGCTCAGTGATGCTTGGAATACACAAGAAAGTGCCACTTGAATCCCCCAAGAGTCTTGATGTTCATACATCAAATGTGAATCACTCATTTTAAGGCTAAATCCCTCATTCGTCATGAATTCATTCTTAACATATAAAATTCATTAACATAAGAGAGTAAGCGCGTCTGTGGGATATATATAGACACACATATGTTGGTTGATGAAAGAGACGAGGTTTTCTGAGCCAGTTATTTTACTGCCGTCAATGAGTACCAATATTTCATAGTATTTCAATAATCCACGTTGTAGAAAAATTGATTGAAAAATGGTTTTCAGGCCAAACATTTGCGTTCAGTGTCTTATCACTTGAATTACTCTTTGGTCAGCTGAGTCTAAGAAGTACAACAGTATTGCAGTTTACGTCCTGTGT